GCCGCCGCTTGCGCGCCCGCTCCTCGCGCTTCAGCAGCATCTCCTCCGTGAGGGCGGGGGCCGGGCCGCCCGCGGGGCCGGGCAGCGGCAGCGTCGGGGAGGGCTGACGCCGGGCCTTCTGCAGCAGAGCTCTCTGCGGAGGGAAGGGGAGCGCTCTGAGAACGGAGGGTGACCGGGGACAGGCCCGCCAGGTCGAGAGGGCAAAAGAGGCGGCGGAAGGCGGGCCGAGAGAACGCCGGCCTTGAGAAGGGGGAGTCAGGCACACCGCGTTCCGCGGCCCTAAACGCTGCTTCCTCCCGAGGTTCGGCTTTGGTCCTTGACTCTCGAGCAGAAAAGCACTAACGTTACCTGCCTGCCCGGCACCGAAACTCTGTGCCACCCTTCCAGGGGCTGGTCTGTGTGTAACCTGCGTCGCAACAGACAGCACCATCGGGATAACCTTCCAAGCCAGAATTTCGGGGTCACCCTTGATTCCCACCCTTCCCCAAAAATGTCTCCACAACCCATCTAGTGTGTTGTGAAATTCATCTGATTTTCAGAGATTCATCTGATTTTCTCCATTTTCACTACTTGCCCCTTGCTACAAGCTGCCATCTTCTCTTAGCTGAATACACTCACCTCAGCTTCTTCCTACTTCTAACCTTTATTGCTGCTGAGACTTACTCTCCACTGAGAAGCCAGAGGAATCTACTGCCATGCAAATTTAAAAATACGCCTGCACACACCCAGTCACTGGCTTAGCCATCTTCTTCCTTCTCCTTTATCTTGCTTGGCACGTTCCAGTCTCAGGGTCCTGTCTCTGTGCCCTGTTGGCTTTGTACCTCCTGGCCTTTTTTTGTTTGTTTGAGACAGGGTCTCACTATGCAGTTCAGGCCGGCCTTGAACTCACTTTATCACCCAGGCTGTCCTCCAACTCGCAGCAATCCCCCTGCCTCAGCCTCTTGAGTGCTGGGATTACAGGCGTGCACCACCGCACCCAGCTAGGCCTTTCTGCTATTATTGGGAACGGTATCTTTTCAAAGAGGCCTTCCCTGGCTCTCCTATCTAAAGTTGTCTTTTCTGCCACTTTCTATCTCACCACCCTATTTTCCTTTTTTGGTAAACCGTACAGCTTTTTGAGATTATTTACCCGTTACACCACACACACACACACACACACACACACACACACTAGAATCCTAGCTCCAAGAGAACAGAAACTTTGTCTCTTCTCCCCCATTTATAGCCCCACTGCCTAGCAAAGTGCTTGGGACATAGCAAGCTCTTAACATATACATTTGGTGAGTGAACAAAGAATGAACCACCTTACCTGTCGAGCAGTGAGCAGCCGCTCATTGATCTCCTTCTTGAGGTCTCCATTATCATCTAGCTCCCCTTTCTCCAGCGCATCTAGCCACCTCTGTTCCTCCTCTTCCTCCTGGTCGCCTATCCCGCCTGACAGGTCCCGAAGTGGGGAGGGGGACAGATTACTGTCTTCATCTGGGAAGGAAAGTTGGAGAGATACAAGTAAAATTGTGCAGGTGGGAGATCCTGACTTAAAACTACTGGGACGGTTGAAATTCTCACCGAGAACCAACCCCCTTCCCCGCCTGCAGACGCTGCTCACCCAGCCAGGCGCGGTACTGCTCCAGGGGGACCCCCTCCATAGGCTCCTCTTCGTTATCCACGACCATCAGCGGGGAGGGTGAGCGAGGCCCCTCGGGGATAACAGTGAAGGTGGGGACACTGCCGAGAAAATGCGAGACAACCGACTGCCGCTCAGCGGCTGTGCACGGCCTCCCCTAACCTCTTTTCTCGCTGCCTTTCACAGGCGCGGAAGTCACTGTCTATTCCGCCTTCCACAAAGCCCCGCCAGCTTCTAACTTCTGTCCGATCCTGCTCCTTAAGTTCCCGAATAGAACGGTGGCGCTCCTCTGACTCACCTCTTGGTGCCCAGGACCTGCCCACCCAGCTTGATCTTGAGTTTGAGCTGGGGCTTAGCAGGCGACGGCTGTGCTGGCCCGGCGTCGTCCTCCTGATGATGTTTCTTCTTGTGCTTCTTTTTGTGCTTCTTGTGCTTTTTCTTGTGCACCCCGTGGCCGTGGGCGCCGGCCAGGCTCAACTCCAGCGCTTCCCCTGAGGACGGAGAGCCCGTCAGCGCTGCTCGGCTGCACCGCGGCAGGGCAGGTCTGAGGGGTCCCATCTTCCAACCATACCCGTTGTTACCATAACAACAGCACCGCCTCTCCCCTTCCCACCAGTGGCGAAGACCTTGGAAGCTCTGAGGAGAAAAAAGAGGCTCTTTTTCCAAGAGGGCCTAAGTTTGAATGACCCGCGCTTACCCGGCTCGGGGGTCTCCATAACCCCAGAGGTGCTCCCGCGCCGCCACAGCTTACTCATGGGGTCCTGCAAGGAGAGGGGACTGGAAACGCTCGGTACACAGGCAGACATGCCGCTTCCGCCCCGCGGAAGAATTCACTACGGCAAGCAATAGGCTACTTCCGCTGGGCGGCAGGCCCGCTTGTGCGCAGCGCGCTTCGCAGCCAAAGGCCTCCCTGAGAAACACCCATTCTCCGCACAAAAGTTCCGGACCACCAAAGACCGGTACCGCCCAAAGGGCGCAGCTTTCCCGTAGCTCCTCCTCCCCGCTCTAGATTCCAGAACTCCACAGCGGCTGGTCAGTTATTACACTTATATCTCGGCCCCAGTGAGGGAGTGAGCTTTAGAGACCATAAAGTTGCATACGAACACTGCTTCTGCTCCAGAGGAGCTCACAGCTTGGTGAAGGACAATTGCCAGCAAAATGGCAGAAATGCTTAATAGCATAAATGCCTAAGAGCAAGATAAGTGGCAGTAATCCTAAATTTTTTCCATTAGGGAAATGGATATGTAAATTATGGTGCAGCTAAATAATCTGGGGAAATCATATTGCTGGGGAAGTCTGACACAGAATTTAGATTCTGATGAGC